TCTAACTGTCAGGAAGTTCTTCCTCATGTTTAGCCGAAGACTCTTTTGATTTAATTTCAACCCGTTGGTTCTGTACTAACATGGGCAGTTAGTACAGCTGCTGTCACATTAGCAACTGCAAGAGGAGTTCCCCTGAGTCAGTCTGGCCTGCGGCAGGAGAGCGAAAGCATGGAGCTTGACTGAGGGAACCGCAAATTCCTTGGCAGGCCCATGCCAGAGGATTAAAGCATCAGAGCAGCAGAAATAGGCTGTGGGGAAGAAGCGGCAGCCCTGCACTTCTTTTAAGTTGACATTTTGGACTTGCTGTCTTTTCTTGGTGCTCCTAGGCACCAAGTTTGTAAGGATTTGCCTGTGTTTAGAATGACCTTTCGGAAGGGCACTGAAGATCCCGTCCCTGCAAATCCTGCTGTGTTCACAGCCATTATGACTCAGTTGTATCTGCGGTTGTAAAGTCGCTGGGTTTGTGATAAATGACCTTGAAAACTAATCTCTCGAAGGTTTTCTTTCTGAAGCAATCTCCTCATTGCTTGCGGAGCCCTCCCCCCTCCCAACTCTCCAACTGGAAAAGATAATTTAGTAGTGGCCAGGGGCATTTTCTTAGAAAGCTGCCAAATCCGCCTATGACAAAAAAAACAACTGTATCACAAAATAAGCAGCAGACAAAAAGAGATTTGGAAACAAAGAGCCTTCCACCAGGCCTTTGGAGCTGCCACCACGACCACCTATTGACATCCTATGGTGGGAGAGCCCTGATCCGCTGGACCCTTTTTAATTACTGCCTGAGCTATTCACCCAAGACAACTGAAGAAGACCGATGGAGCCGACTGTGAAATGAGGAAATTATATTTGCTAGCACTTTATTATATTTCTGGTTTTAACACTGCCGTTTATACTAATTGATATTGTGATTTCACGTGTATTGTGCGAATTCTGTTCTGTTTGTAAACCGGCCCTGAGCCGGCCTTGGCCGGGAGGGCGGGATAAAAATCTAATAAATCAAATCAAATTAATAAAACTACCTTCTTCAAATGAAACTAGGGTTCCCGACTCCAGGCTGGGAAATTCCAGGAGATTTGGGGGCGGAGCCAGCAGTGGACTGGGTTTGGGAAGGGGAGGGACCTCCGCAGGGTATAATGCCATAGAGTCCACCCCTCCAAAGTAGCTATTTCCTCCAGGGGAGCTGATCTCTGTTGTCTGGAGTTCTGTTGTAAATCCGGGAGATGCCAGGTCCCCCCGGCCACCATTGGGGGATGATAGTGTTGCCAGATCCAGATTGGGAAACTCCTGGAGATTTGGAGATGGATCTTAGAGGGATAGGGACCTCAGTGGGGGTTCCATGCCATAGAGCCCACCCTCCAAAGAATCCCTTTTCTCCAAGGAAGAAGAAGAAGAGATAGGATTCATACCCCGTCCTTCACTACCCAAAGGAGTCTCAGAGCAGTTTATAATCCCTTTCCCGTCCCCTCCTCACAACAGACACCCTGTGAGGTAGGTGGGGCTGAGAGAGCTCTCTCAAGAACTGCCTTTGAGAGAAGAGCTCTGAGAGAACCTGTGACTGACCCAAGGTCACACCAGCAGCTGCATGTGGAGGAGCGGAGCATCAGACCCGGTTCTCCCAGATTAGAGTCCACGCCCACTGCACCAAACTGGCTCTGATCAGTGTTCCCTCTAAGCTGAGCTGGCTCACAGTTTTTTAGCCTCCAGCTCATACATTTTTGTCTTCGCTCAGGAAGTATAGCTCCAGAGCAAACTAATTGATGCAGCAGCCAAATCGCTTGCTCACAACTTTAATACCTGTCGCTCACCAAGTAGAATTTTTGCTCACAAGACACTCCACAGCTTAGAGGGAACATTGGCTCTGATCTCTGGAAACTGATCTCCGTAGTCTGGAAACGAGCTGTAATTCCAGGGGGGTCCCCAGGTCCCACCTGGAGGCCAGCATCCCAGGTTGACAGCCCCCGATGAAACCAGGCCAAAGCTTTTCCAGCAGCCAATGGCGATGAATCAGATAAAACACACCGGGTGAAACTTAACAATAACAATAGGTTAAATTGGTGCTGGGATGATACATGGAAACAGATCCCCGGTGGGACTCGCCCTGCCCCCGATCAGCACTGGAAACAGACCCACCATCCCGCAGTCCAGCTAACCTGTTGGTATGGGTGCAGATCAAGACCCGCGTCTTGGGCTCCTTAATGATCTCCAAGGTGGCCATGGCCAAGGTGAAGGTCTTCCCAGTCCCGAAAGGCCCATAAATCAGGAGGGGGGGCACTTGCCGGGGCCCAGATGCCTGCCCCGTGATGAAGGAGAAGGCCTGTCTCTGCTTCCCGTTGCCCCCCGGCAGCTGTACCTGTCGTGGCAATCAGATTCGGATAGAAAACCACGATTACGAATATTCATCCACGCGCATCTCATGCCATTTCAATGGTACGAAACGTAAGCTTGTTGAAACACGCTTTCCTGATCAAATGCATTCCTAGCGCCTCGTTAAAATAAGATAACAGTTTTATGACCTTGCCGGACAGACAGCTTATCTAAAACTTCAGTGGCCTCCAACGAGAGCTTAATTGCTAGAGGCTTTCGACATACTTCATCTATGACATGTCCTGTATAATTAGCTCTAGCGTCGATTAAGTTTGCCTTAGAGATAGAAATGAAACAGTGGGAAAAGTGATGAAGTACACCTGTAAGCTTTGATAATGACCGCCTTTTACTATCAACTCCTATGTTTACTGGGGGAACTAACTAGAAGTTTGGGAAATGCAGCTCAGACAAGGAAACTGGAAGCTAGGCATGACCTTACTTTGAGCCCTGTTAAGGTTTGATATATTTAGTCATATTTATTTGAACTTGGAAATTTCTTTTGTTTTATTTAGTGGATTTCTGAGGGGAATGGAGGCGAATAGATTATAAGATGTTAGTCGATTTCATTTTCATTTTGAACTTTTTGAGGGCATACAGAATAAAGAAAAGCGGTAAGGGAAAAGAATAAAAGGTAAAATTACCAGAACATAGTATAAAGGGCATTTTTTGCAAATATAAAGGACAATCCTTGATTCAAATACTTGAATTTTTTAGTAAAATTATATCACAATAACTTTAAAACCGCTATAATAACCTACTCAACATTCTATCATTTTCTCATGATACATTAACATATTTAACCTATTGTATCAATCTTATCAGTTATATATTAAACTATGAATAGCCACATAGAAATTTGAATGTAATATTATGTTAAGATGTTAATCGATTTACTCCTTATATCATTTTATTTTCTGGTTCTGTTTGTGTAACCCTCATATCTGAACATTTCTTTCTTACCAAGAAAGAGCTAAATGCTTTCAATAAAGTTAATTAACCCAAACACTGCTGTATGGTTTTATGTTGAGGAGTTTAAGAACCTGGATCCAAGAAAAGGAAATATCCTGTCCTGTTTAGAACAGACTCCTCTCAAACGGAGTCTGCCGTAAGTTAAAACAGACTAGTGAGTATAAAGTTCTATTGCCCCTGTGCTACAGGTAAAGAGAGGCTGTTACAGAGAACAGAGTAATTCCCCAATTGGTGGTGGAAAGTGTCCTCAAACACCCAACTCATGGCGACCCTGTAGGGTTCTGAAGGCAAGAGGCAAACAGAGGTTTGCCATTGCCTGCCTCTGCGTAGCAACCCTGGACTTCCTTGACGGTCTCCCATCCAAGTACTAACCGGGGCCGACTCGGCTTAGCTTCCGAAATCTGATGAGATTGGGCTAACCCGGACCATCCAGGGCAGGATAATCTTCAAGTACCGTCAGCTTGCAGTCATATGATGGTGCCCCAGGTCAGGGCAGAGAAACAGGACAATATTCAAGCCGACTTGTGGTGACCCATGGGGTTTTCAAGGCAAGAGACAAGTGGAGGTGGTTTGCCCTTGCCTTCCCCTGCCCAGCAACCCTGGACTTCTTTAGAGGTCTCCCATCCGGGTACTAACCAGGGCTGACCCTGCTCAGCTTCTGAGCCTGGGTCATCCGGGTGAGGACAACCCCCCTAACTCAATACAAGATAAATAAACCCGTTACACACCTGCTCACGAGGCTGCGGAATGGAGCAGGCTGCCACATCGGGAAGGACCAGCCTCACGTCCAAGAGCTGATCCGCGGCGTGATGCCACTGCCGAAACTCGAGCTGGTTGAGCTGGAACTGGATTTCAGCCTTGACGGAAGTCCCGCTTTTGAGGCCCAGCTCAGAGCAGCAGCGCTTGGGGAGCAGAAGCCAAATGCTCCTCTCGGTGATGGCTTTGGTCTCAACGCTGACCTCGTAGACGCGGTTGCTCGTGGGGGGATCCAGCGCCAGGAAGGCGGTCTGGATGGAGCGGTGAAGCAGGTATCCCTCCTTGGAGTCAGGGGTCACCGAGCAAGGGGTGGGGACGTGAGCGAACAGCTCCCCTGTAAGGGCAAACTTCATCCCGAAGGAAGGGTTCTCCAATGCCTGGTGAAGGGAGACGTCAACTTGCAAGCTAAGCCTGAGCCAGAGCAGGGGAAGAAGCCAGAGAGGCAGGAATGGAGGAAACAAGGAAGAGGCGAGGCAGAGAAAGGGGGCATGTGTTAGCGTTAGAACAGAAGAACAGAAGAGAAGCCAGCGTTGGATCAGGCCAATGGCCCATCCAGTCCAACACTTTGTGTCACACAGTGGCCAAAAAGACCAGGGGCCATCAGGTGGTCCAGCAGTGGGGCCAGGACACTAGAAGCCCTTCCACTGTTGACCCCCCCCGCCAAACACCAAGAAGACAGAGCATCACTTGCCCCAGAGTCCCTATCTATACCTTGTGGCTAATAGCCACTGATGGACCTCTGCTCCATATAAGAACATAAGAGAAGCCAAGGTTGGATCAGGCCAATGGCCCATCCAGTCCAACACTCTTGTCACACAGTGGCCAAAAATACCAGGTGCCATCAGAGTGTCCACCAGTGGGGCCAGGACACTAGAAGCCCTCCCGCTGTTGACACACACACACACCCAAGCACCAAGAATACAGAGCATCCCTTGCCCCAGACGAGAGTTCCTATCTATACCTTGTGGCTAATAGCTACTGATGGACTTCTGCTCCATATAAGAACATAAGAGACGCCAATGTTGGATCAGGCCAGTGGCCCATCCAGTCCAACACTCTGTGTCACACAGTGGCCAGAAATACCAGGGGCCATCAGGAGGTCCAGCAGTGGGGCCAGGACACGAGAAGCCCTCCCACTGTTGCCCCCCCCCAAGCTGGCCAGAAATACCAGGTGCCATCAGAGTGTCCACCAGTGGGGCCAGGACACTAGAAGCCCTCCCACTGTTGACACCCACCCACCCCGCAAGCACCAAGAATACAGAGCATCCCTTGCCCCAGACGAGAGTTCCTATCTATACCTTGTGGCTAACAGCCACTGATGGACCTCTACTCCATATGTTTCTCCAATTCCCTCTGGAAGCCATCCATGCTTGTAGCCGCCACCACTTCCTGTGGCAGTGAATCCCACGTGTTCATCACTCTTTGGGTGAAGAAGGACTTCCTTTTATCCGTTCTAACCCGACTGCTCAGCAATTTCATGGAGTGCCCACAAGTTCTTGTATTGTGGGGAAGGGAAAAAGGACTTCTTTCTCAACCTGCTCTATCCCATGTTAGTTTTCAGGGACTGGAGATCTCAAGCAATCTTCCTTTAAAACCAACATGCTAATTGTAGCTAAAGCCATCACGGACTTTCTATGAAGCAACAACGGGCTCTAACCCAAGCTCTGAACAAAACCGTCTTTCAGGCCTGTCTGTTCTCACTGCTACAGATCAGTATGGTGATACTTTTGGAATTGGTGTTCCGCAAAGTGCTAACTCATGGTGTTGTCCAAAATTGTACGTCAGGGATGGCTAATGGACGGCCTTGTGGCAGCCCTACAAAGACTGAGTTATATGGACACATGAAGCTGCCTTATACTACTCAGACTGGCAGCCGCTCTCCAGGGTCTCAGGTGGATGGTCTTTCCCATCACCTACTACCTGATCCTTCCAAGTGGAGGCACCAGGGATTGAACCAGGGACCTGCTGCGTGCCGTCTGAGCCCCGGTCCCTAACTTTGACACAAAAGGGAAAAATACCTCCCTGTGGTTTCGGCTTCTTGGAAAAGAAACAGGGTTATGAGTGGAGTCTTTCTTTGTGGAAAGAAACAAAAGATTCCACACGGGAACGTTGAATTGCTTGATTCGTGCATTCCCAGTCAGATGCATGCCTTTAACATTTCATTTTTATTAGAGCCTTTCATATCTTTCAACCCAGGCTTTTTATGAGTGGGTGTTTTTCTCACTACTTTTTTCATGGAAAGGGTTCTATGCTGTTTGTGCCCCATGGTTTGTGTTCTAATGGCTTGTTCGGTGTCGTGGTTAAGGGTGCGGACTCTGATCTGGGAGAACCGGGTTTGATTCCCCACTCCTCCACTTGCACCTGCTGGATGACCTTGGGCAAGCCGTAGTTCTGTCAGAGCTGTCCTTGAAAGGGCAGTTTCTCTCAGAGCTCTCTCAGCCCCGCCTGCCTCGCAGGGTGTCTGTGGTGGGGAGGGGAAGGGAAAGGAATTTGTAAGCCACTCTGAGACTCCCTTGGGTAGTGAAGGGTGAGGTATAAGACAGCCAGTTTGGTGTAGTGGTTAAGTGCGCAGACTCTAATCTGGGAGAACCGGGTTTGATTGCCCACTCCTCCACTTGCACCTGGCTGGATGACCTTGGGCAAGCCGTAGTTCCGTCAGAGCTGTCCTTGAAAGGGCAGTTTCTCTCAGAGCTCTCTCAGCCCCGCCTGCCTCACAGGGCATCTGTGGTGGGGAGGGGGAGGGAAAGGAATTTGTAAGCTGCTCTGAGACTCTGAGTGAAGGGTGGGGTATAAATCCAATCTCCTCTTTTATATTGCTGGGGTGGGGGGTTGGAAAATATTTTGTAAACCGTCTTGAGTATATCATAGGGTTGCCAATTCTGAGCTGAGAAATTCCTGGAGACTTGGGGGTGGAGCCTAGGGAGGGACCTCAGCGGGGTCTCACACCACAGGCCCCACCCTTCTCAAAAGCAGCCATTATCTCCGAGGGGGACGGATCTTGGTCTCCTGGAGTTCTATTGTAATAGTGGGTGATCTCCAGGTACCACCTGGAGGGTGGCGACCCTACTGGCTCAGCCATATGTGGCCAATAGTGCTGCCAACTCTATTGTGAAATTTCTGGAGATTTTGAGAGTAAAACCTGGTGAGGGCACAGTCTGCGGAACAGAAGGACCTCCGTGACCTATAATGCCAAAGGTCCACCCTTAAAAGTAGCCATTTTCTCGAGGGGAACTTGATATCTGTAGTCTGGAGATCAGCTGGGATTCCAGAAAATCTCCAGGCCCCACCTGGAGGTTGGCAACCCCAATTGTGCTTATAAAGAGGCGGAGTATAACTGTGTTACATAAAAAGTTCAAGTCCAGTGGCACCTTTAAGACCAACAAAGTTTTATTCAAGGTAGAAGAAGAGAAGAGATTGGATTTATACCCCGCCCTTCACTACCCAAAGGTGTCTCAGAGCGGCTCACAAACTCCTTTCCCTTCCCCTCCCCACAACAGACACCCTGTGAGGTAGGTGAGGCTGAGAGAGCTCTGACAGAAATGGCTCTATTTCAAGAACTGCTCTTATCAGAACTACGGCTTGCCCAAGGTCATCCAGCCAGGTACAAGTGGAGGAGTGGGGACTCAAACCTGGTTCTCCCAGATTAGACTCCGCGCACTTAACCACTACCAGGGTTCTTTTTGTAGAAAAAGCCCAGCAGGAACTCATTAGCTTAAAAGGCCACACCCAACATCAGAAACTCATTAGCATATTAGGCCACACCCCTGACAGCACGGCTCATTAGCATGTTAGGCCACACACCCCATGTTACCAGAAGTGTGGTCATCCAGCCACACCCACTTTTTGCTTCTTATTCTGTTTACCTTGTTTGTTGTCAAAACCCAGAGCTTTTTTTTGGAGCAGGGACTCCTTTGAATGTTAGGCCACATACCCCTAAAGTAGCCAATCCTAATGAGTTCCTGCTGTTGGGTGTGGCCTTTTATGCTAATGAGTTCCCGCTGGGCGTGGCCAACTTGGGAGCCAGCCAAAACTCCGTTCCTGTGCGTTCCTGCCCAAAAATAGCCCTGACCACTACACCAAACTGGCTTTGGTATGAACTTCCGTGTGCATGCGCACTTTTTCCCAAATATCTTTTTTCAAATATCTGAAGACGTGCCCATGCACGCGAAAGCTCATACCTTGAATAAAAGTTCGTTGGTCTTAAAGGTGCCCCTGGACTAGAACTCTGTCCTACTGTTTCAGATCAGGACAGGTGACGACCAATGTTCCCTCTAAGCTGAGCTGGTGTGAGTTAGCTCATAGCTTTTTAGCCTCCGGCTCACAGGTTTTTGCCTTCGCTCAGGAAGGAGGGCTCCAGAGCAAACCGATTGACGCAGCAGCCAACTTGCTCGCTCACAACTTCAATGCCCATAGCTCACAAACTAGAATTTTTGCTCTCAAGACTCTGCAGCTTAGAAGGAGCATTTGCTGACCACCTGGATCTGTGTTACATACATTCTTGCATATTGCCAGTTCAGACGGGTGAGCCGGAAAAGCCATGTGGATACGAGCTCCTCCCTAGGCTTCTGATGCTCACCCTGAAATTTAAATCCTTCCTGCTGTAGATTCTGAGAAAGAAGTTAAAAACTCTGAAATGTCAGCCCAAGACTTGGCCACCCTAAAGTGCAGGCTTGAGAACATAATGCTGGGAATTTGAAAGAAACCCATAACATCTCTTGCCTCTGTAACAGATTACGTAGGGGACCCATGATCTTTAATTTAGTTTGGTTTCAGACCACTTCGGACCCCAAGGCAGCTACAACACACCAAGAATCAGCAACAAGGCCATTAGAATCAATAAAACCCCAGGGGAAACCAATAGCATCCCCCCCCGCCACACCCATTCTTATCGATCAAGCTGCTTAAGGGATGCCCAGAGAAAACACCTGCCCGTGTGAGGCTGCTACAGCCACTACTCACTTCGCGATAAGAGCTTGCTCCGCCTCTTCCTCTCTGAACAGGAAGTTGTGCATCTGCTCGCGGTAGTTGAAGAGGGTGACCGGCAGGCTCTCGGCACCACGCTTGAAATCCAGGGAGAGCGACGGGATCTTGTATTTGGCCAGCAGTTCTGTGACTTTGCTGCTACGCAAGACGCTGGGCACCACCACCCGGTTGCCACTGTGCCAGCGTTCGAAGTCGACGAACTGGCTGCTTTGCTCTGCCGCCGGGTCCACGTGCCAGTGAGGTTCTTTCTTGCCGACCGTAACCCGGAGCTTTCGCACCAACACTGGACGGCTGCCGAAGTCAAACACCAGCCACTGATCATAGACGCCAAAAGTGCAGCACTCGACGCATACCCGTATCTCAGAAACTGATGGCGATGTGGGCAGGGGCTTGAATCTTTCTCCCGAGGCATAGGCGAGACCCCGAGAGAGCCCGTCCCCCGCCAGGGAGAAGGCGGCTCCGGGGGATCTCTTCAACAGAGCCACATGTTTCAGGGGCTCCTGAAATCGGAAGGAAACAGCGACATCAGCGGCAAAGGAAAACACAATCCGCACGTGCACAAATTCACCCTATGTGGCCTGTGCAGTAGTGGTTAAAGCTGCAGGAGACACCGAGTTCAAATCTCCACTGTCAAGAAACTCCCTGGGTGATCCTGAGCCAATCTCTGTCAGCTGAGCCTACCTTGCAGCATTGTTGTGAAGATAAACCGGGGAAAGAGGGGAAAACGGGACAGACAGCTGGATAGGTGCAGAGAGGCTCACTTCATGACCCTGAGGCCAGTGGCTTCTGGTACACAGATTTCTGAAGGATTAGGCCACCAGCCATGATAGTTAAGCAGAACCTCCATGTTCAGAGGTAGTATACTTCGGAATACCGGCTTCCTGGGAGAAGTGGGATAAAGCTATTCTGCTTGTGGGTTTCCCGGAGACTCTTGAGAACAAGAAAAGGCCTTTGATGGATCCAGCAGAGCTTAAGAACATAAGAAGAGTCCTGCTGGACTGGACCAATGGTCCATCTAGTCTAGCCTCCTGTCTCACACAGTGGCCAGCCAGTTCCTCTAGAGGGCCAACAACAGGGCATAGAGGCCGAGGCCTTCATAAGAACACCAGAAGAGCCCTGCTGGATCAGACCAGGGGTCCATCTAGTCCAGCCTCCTGTCTCACACAGCGGCCAACCAGTCCCTCTGGAGGGCCAACAACAGGGCAGAGAGGCCGAGGCCTTCCTAAGAACATCAGAAGAGCCCTGCTGGATCAGACCAGGGGTCCATCTAGTCCAGCCTCCTGTCTCACACAGCGGCCAACCAGTCCCTCTGGAGGGCCAACAACAGGGCAGAGAGGCCGAGGCCTTCCTAAGAACATCAGAAGAGCCCTGCTGGATCAGACCAGTGGTCCATCTAGTCCAGCATCCCGTCTCACACACTGGCCAACCAGTTCCTCTGGAGGGCCAACAGCAGGGCATAGAGGCCAAGGCCTTCCTAAGAACATCAGAAGAGCCCTGCTGGATCAGACCAGTGGTCCATCTAGTCCAGCATCCCGTCTCACACACTGGCCAACCAGTTCCTCTGGAGGGCCAACAGCAGGGCATAGAGGCCAAGGCCTTCCTAAGAACATCAGAAGAGCCCTGCTGGATCAGACCAGTGGTCCATCTAGTCCAGCATCCCGTCTCACACACTGGCCAACCAGTTCCTCTGGAGGGCCAACAGCAGGGCATAGAGGCCAAGGCCTTCCTAAGAACATCAGAAGAGCCCTGCTGGATCAGACCA